ACTGGGTAACCAGATAAGTTACTTAACTGCTCTATGCCTCAGTTTCCAAACCAGTAAAATGGGAATTAGAACAAAGCGCCCATACCAAGCACATAGTGTATTATTATCCATTAGATTGGGCTTTCCCTCCCAATGTTTCAAATACACAGGGTGACTTTTCCTTTATCTTATCCACCCCAAAAGGGCCACCATTATTTTTGTACACTGCACAACTCCAAGGACATCTTTCACATAGATTAAGACATGTGAAGAGTACCTTCTAAACCTGTGGTTCTCAACCTTCCTAATGCCGCGACCCTTTAATACAGTTCCTCATGTTGTGGTGACCCCCAACCATAAAGTAATTTTCGTTGCTACTCCATAACTGCAATTTTGCTACTGTCATGAATTTTAATGAAAATATCTGATATGCAGGATGTATTTTCATTGTTACAAATTGAACATAATTAAAGCATAGTGATTAATCACAAAAACAATACGTAATTATATATGTGTTTTCCGATGGTCTTAGGCGACCCCTATGAAAGCGTCATTCGACCCCCAAAGGGGTCGCGACCCACAGGTTGAGAACCGCTGTTCTAGACTTGTGCTACATGGTAGAGTTCCAGGAATCCTTTGTGATAATCAAAAGATTAAGATGATCAAAGAATACAAGAAACAGGGAAGTACTTTGGAAACTTAAAAGTACTATAAAATGATCCCTATATTTACAAATGTAAATTCTCTTGAGGTCAATGTCAGAAAGAAGGTTGGCCAGATTACTGCTCTGTGATCCAGGGCTATAAAGAGATGGAATAATAGTCAGGCTACCTTGAATTCACACTGAGGGTTACAACCAGCCCATGAGGTTGTTTCTCAGGAATGGTCATGGGTATTCAGCTGCCGGGCAATTCATAATATTTCAATATTTGCTTACATCTAACACTGCAGCTTTTATCTCATTTTTCTATCCTTCGAAGAGAATATCAAAAGGAAATTCCTTGTTGTAACATAATTATTGATCTCAAGACAGTGAATACTTATTTCGGGTATCCAAATAAACTGATCTTAGGATAAGCTGAGTAATAATCTGCAACTGGGTGGAGGATTTGTCATGACCATGAAGTGAGCTTTGTGAAGTCAACAATAAAAATGCTTCATGCTTACTTTGGGCGAAGCCCTGAGAAACAAAATCTGAGAGTGCTTTCAAGATGTTTTGTGATAGACTTTAAATTCAAAGATGAACAGCAGCTAATCAGAATAATATACATAGAACTACCTACTGATTTTCAATCTTACACTATTGACATTTTGAGTCAGATGATTCATTGTTGTGGAGGTCTGATCTGTGCATGAGGATGTCTTAGCAGCAACCCTAGACTCTATTCACTAAAATACCAGTAGTACTCCCCTAATCCAACAATAAAAAATGTCGCTAGCCCTGGCCAGTATAACACAGTGGTTAGAGTGTCATCCTGCAAACCAAAGGGTCTCAGATTCGATTCCTAGTCAAGAGCACATACCTGGGCTGCAGCTTCAATCCCTGGCTCTGGTCGGGGCGTGTGCCAGAGGCAACCAATCCATGTGTCTCTCTCACATCAATCTCTCTCTCTCTCTCTCTCTTTCTCTAACCCTCCCTCCCTTCCACTCTCTAAAAACCGATGGACTAAATATCCCCCTAGCCTGGCCGATGTGGCTCAGTGGCTGAGCATCAACCTATGGACCAGGAGGTCACAATTCAATTCCTGGTCAGGGCACGTGCCCAGGCTGGCAGTCAAATATTCATTGTACTGCATTGAGAGGAAACCAAGACACAGGTAGATATAGTCACTAAAGCAGAGCCACACAGTCCATGAGAGTGACTCAAGGTCTGTCTGCAGCCATTACCTCTCCTCCATCCCAGAGGGATCCCTAAACCAAACATTGGTTTTCAGTGATGACGAACCTTTTGAGCTCCACGTGCCAGCATTTTGAAAAACCCTAACTTACCTCTGGTGCCGTGTCACATAAAGAAATTTTTTGATATTTGCAACCATAGTAAAACAAAGACTTATATTTTTTATACTTGTTTTATATATTTAAATGCCATTTAACAAAGAAAAATCAACCAAAAAAATGAGTTCGCGTGTCACCTCTAACACGCGTTGTCATAGGTTCGCCATCACTGTCCTAGGGTAAGGATTAACAACAACAAAAAGGCTCCAGGTACTGCCAAACTCTCTTGACTGGACAAAAATCACACCCAGATGAGGACCCCTGCTTTAAACAAATCTGTTCCAACTGTCTAAAACATCCACCCAAGTTCTCTCCTCCCACTTTCAAAAATCCCTTCCTCTGATCTTCCTGGGAATCCAGATTTAACCTCAGAGTCCACCTCAATTCTTCAATTGCCTTTGCCTCCAAAATCTTCAAAAATCAGTTATTATAACTCCCTCAATGACATGTCAGTACTCTTGTTAAAACCACAACTGGTGACAGACTTAATACTAGTACTCAGGGTTCATGATCCCTAATCAAGCACTCTTTTCCATCATAGCACATTGCTATCTGGCAGTCATCAAGTTTTAAGTCCTTCACTGCCAACATGTCTTGCTTCCTTCCACCCCTTACTTTCCATTTCTACTACTTATACCCCAAAGCAGTGGTTCTCAAACTTTTGCATGCATCAGAATCACCTAGCTTGTTAAAACACATTTTGTTGGTCCCTAACCTCAGAGATTCTGATTTAGTAAGTATGGGGAGGATCCAAAAATGCGTGTAACTAATATGTTCCCAGATACCCAGATAATGCTTGTGCTGCTGGTGAGAGGACCACACTTCAAGAACCACTGCCCTAGAGTTCAGGTGTCTTTCACCTAAGAGGTAACTTATTTCAGTATTCTTCCAGAACTAAAACTGAAAAACTATTACTTCTAAAATTTTGATCAAATTACTACTCGGTTAAAAATAAGCCACAACTTACGGCTGTTTTCCACATGTGGCTTTTCGTAATTGTTTAAAATGTGTGCCCAACAGTATGAACAGTGCCTCCCTCCCAAAACCAATCTACTTTTATCCTGCTAATCTCATGGATGTCTTCAGAATAGACCTTACAGACTTCCCACTCCATAATACAGCTTCTGCTGTCTTTACCTCCTACAAGGCCACCCTCTTCCCTCCTCCTCTCTACCTACCTGAAGGAGGCCTTCACCACTGTATTTGCCAAAACCACGTTTGGTCACTATCTGCTGCCTTTTATCTTTACGGTTTTAAGTTTTTACCAAGTACTCACAGATAGAGAAAACCCCCAAGAACCTAAAATTTAAAACAGAAAACAATGATATGAGTGACATGCATAAATAAAAGGCCTGACATATACACAAACTACACAAATACTGGTGTTTTAATAGATTAAGTGCAATCAATTAAAAGTTCACAAAAAGAATGTGCCGATCTTTTTAAAAATATGACTAAACACCGGCTGTCAAAAATTTATAGCTACCTCATTTAGGATGTTAAGCAGGCATCTGTTAGGGAAGAAAATTTTGAAGTAGAGAAAGTACTAAGTTTAACCACTTCCTACAACAGAAGTGGGTATCATTTGTTTTCTGTATGAAATGCACCACAAGAGAGTTGGTATGATGTGAAAGAAGAAACATGGGGTTCTACTCCGACCAACTATGATCTTAGGCAAGTTGATCAAGGCCTTCCCCAAGCTTCCATTTCCATAATTAAAAAAAAAAATGAGGGTTTAAAACTATACAGTCTCCCTTACAAGATTGCGTTGAGGGTACAATAAGGTAATGTATATGAAAGAACATAACCTATTAGTTGGCACATGATAAGTATTTATTGAGTTTTAACTTTTTTTTTTAATGTGAAAGCCAATGCAAAAATAGTATTATTCCAAAAATAAGATAAACAGACAGAGCAAATTAATGAAACCTGAGTATGTCCATTTCCCAAGGAAAAAAGTTTTTTAAAGGATATAAAATAAAGAATACAAGTCCCTCAGAGTGGTATACAGTAAATGTATCAATTCCCTGACTTAATGACCTTGAGAATAAAATCACTTGCAACTTCACAACTTAAAGGTTGTCTAAAAGTCAGCAAAAACTTGCCCTACTTGGTTTGGCTCAGTGGATAGAGCATCGGCCTATGGACTGAAGAGTCCCAGGTTCTATTCCAGTCAAAGGCACATACCCGGGTTGCGGGCTCAATCCCCAGTAGAGGGCATGTAGGAGGCAGCCAATCAATGATTCTCTCTCATCATTGATGTTTCTCTCTCTCTCCTCCCCCCGCCCCCGCCCTTCCTCTCTGAAATCAATAAAAATATGTATTTTTTAAAAAGTCAGCAAAAACTTTGACATACAGGGTTTAGGACAGGATTAGAGGTAGGAAAACTTAAATTCACCCTGAGCTTTTAAAGTTTAACTAGATATTTTCTTATTTTTTTTCTAATGGCCCAACCATTACAAATGTGTTCATCTGGCATGTATGTGTATTAAGCATATGTTTTTAATCTGTTATAGCTCCAGTGGTTCTCAACCTTCCTAATGCTGCGACCCTTTAATACAGTTCCTCATGTTGTGACCCCCAACCATAAAATTATTTCCGTTGCTACTTCATAATTGTAATTTTGCTTCATAACTGTAATTTTGAATCGTAATGTAAATATCTGATATGCTATATGTGTTTTCCGATGGTCGCGACCCACAGGTTGAGAACCGCTGAGACTTTTGGTCCTTATGTACTCTGCCAGATCCAATACCCAGATATTGTGCTTATCCCTGTGCATCAAAACTCTCCTCAATTCTAGTGGCCTATTCCTAGCACTCAAGAAAACTGGTAATACAATAAACTATTTATGAAGGCTTCCAACAACATAAACAAATACTTATTGAGCACTTTCTATGTTTAGACTGAGTATCTTCTTTTTTCAGGCTACTCATTGAACACTTTGTATGTGTCAGACACTGTTCAAAGCATCCAATATACACCATAAACAAAAACAAAGTCCCAACTCTCAAGGAACTTACACTAATGGAGAGAGATGCACAAATAAATTTACATATGGTAGCTAATGACTGGTGCTCAGCAAAATAAAACAAGAGAAAATAATAGAGCTTAAATATAGTCCTTACTCTGGATCTCCAAAAAATAATTAGATCCCTTGCCCTAGCTGGGTTTCTCACTGGTTAGAGTGTAGACCCGCAGACTGAAGGACCTCGGGTTTGATTCGTCAAGGGCATATGTACGTACGGGTTGCGGGCTCGATCACCAGTATGGGGCATGCAGGGGGCACCTGATCAATGATTCTCTCTCATCATTAATGTTTCTATGCCTCTCTCCCTTTCCCTTCTTCTCTGAAATCAATAAAAATATAATTTAAGAAAAGAGAAAGTGATGTTAGTTGTGGGTGTCCTTTATCAAGTTGAGGAAGTTTCTTTTTATTCCTACTTTGTTTTTATGGAAAGGGTTTGAATTTTATCAGATGCTTTTTTTTCTGTGTCTATTGATATGATCATGTAACTTTTAAAAAAATTCTATTGATATGTTACATCAATTAATTTTTAACATTTTTAAAATATATTTTATTGATTTTTTTACAGAGAGGAAGGGAGAGGGATAGAGAGTTAGAAACATCAATCAGCTGCCTCCTGCACACTCCCTACTGGGTATGTGCCCGCAACCAAGGTACATGCCCTTGACCGGAATCGAACCTGGGACCCTTGAGTCCACAGGCCGACGCTCTATCCATTGAGCCAAACGAGTTAGGGCACATCAATTAATTTTTAGATGTTGAATTAACCTTATATTCCTCTGATAAATTCCATTGGTCATGGTGTATGATTCTATTCATATGTTACTAGATTTGGTTGGTTAGTATTTTATACTCATACTAGAGGCCCAGTGCACAAAATTCATGCACAGGTAGGGTCTCTAGCAGTTGCTGCTGGGGCCTCCCTTCCCCGGCTGCCGGCTGCCAGGGCTGGGTTCTTCCTTTCCCGGCTGCTGGCTGCCAGCGAGGGCCTTCCTTCGTTCTGCTCCATCCCTGGTGGCCAGAGCACGTCAGAGCAAGCAACTGAATTCCCAGTCAGTTGAACTCCAGAGGGGACACTTTGCATATCAGGCTTATACACACACACACACACACACACACACACACACACACACAGACACTGGAGGCCCGGTGCACAAAATTTGTGCAACGGGCTTGGCCCTCGCAGCCACGGCAGCTTGCTTCAGCCCTCACAGCCCTGGCTTCATCTGGAAGGTCATCCAGCTGTCTGGTCTAATTAGCATATTACATTTTTTTATTATAGATTAATAAGGGATATTGGTCTGTAGTTTTCTTGTGATGTCTTTGTTTGGTTTTAGTATCTGGGCAATGCCTCATAGGATAAGTTAGGCAATGTTACCTCCTCGTCCACTTTTTGCAGGGTTTATGAATAATTGGTATTAATTATTTTTTACTTATTATTTTTAAATATATTTTTATTGATTTCAGAGAGGAAGAGAGAGGGAGAGAGAGAAACATCAATGATGAGAGGGAAGCATTGACTGGCTGCCTCCTGCACCCCTCCCCCCACCACTGGGGATTGAGCCCAAAACCTGGGCATGAGCTCTGACCAAGAATCAAACCATGATTTCCCCGGTTCATTGGTTGACACTCAACCACTGACCTACACTGGCTGGGCATTAAGCATTTACTTTAAATGCACATTATTTTGCCCCTGATTTTCTATGCAATAAGGATTACTCAAAATTGGTGTGATTTCAAAAACCTAAAAGATCATCAATTATAATTGCTAAGGACTTAACTAACATTTTAGATTAAGGAGCTCTAAGATATTATGCTGAACATTCCCCATAAATGAACGTAAACGTAAATGGAGAGTCACAAACATCCAAAACTACTCCAATACTTGAGCTCCTGAAATCAAATGAAGAAAGAAAAGGTTCCATCTTTAGTACCAGTCAATGTTTCTTAATAAGGTCCTACATCTAAATTTATTAAAATACAAAAATTAATCATCTTTACCTCTGGACAACCAAATATCCACCCATCATTAAAACTGAAGCTTCTGTTCCTCTCCTCAGGTATACCAATTTGACTTGGAGATCTGGCTTTATTCTAGGAATCCATACATTGAAACTACTACTACTGTTTTTCATTTAAAAAAAAACTCTAGCCCTGGTTGACATGGCTCAGTGGTTGGAGCATCAGCCTTTGGACCCTTCAGTTCAATTCCCAGTCAAGGACATGTACCTGGGTTGCAGGTTCATTCCTTCCCTACCCAAGTTGATGTTTCTCTTTCCTCCCTCCCTTCCACTCCTTCTAAAAAAAAAAAAAAAAAAAAAAATCAATGGAAAAAATATCCTAGGGTGAGGGTTAACAAAACAAAAGTCTATGTCTTGCTTTGAAAAAGCCAAACAGGATCTATTTTGTTCATCAGTTTATTTTGTTCATTAACCAGGAAACTTAGATGCATATATGCAGTCAATGGACACAGATAATAGTGTGGTGAATAGGGAGGTGCGGGTGCTGGGTGGAGGGGGTCAATGGGGAAAAAAGACAAACTAACAACCGGGACATCTGTAATACTATCAACAATAAATATAAATTTAAAAAATAAAATATAAAATAAAATAAAAAAGCCAAATATTATTTACCCTCTCATATCATTTCCTACACTACAAAAATAAGTTTTCTGGTTCCAGAAAGTAGAGTCAACACCCAAATCTACACATACACATCATCTTCAAAGGCACAATTCTCTTCCACATGTAATAAGTAAATAATAGTTTGGTAAAAGATAAGCCAACCTTAAAAAACTAGCTATTTCTGATTTTTTAAAAAATTACTTGTCATAAAGATGATATAAACCTATCAAATCTTACCAAATTCATCCTGTGTGCTTGAAATAGCTATGTCAGTAAAAGGATTTATTCAATCATGAATATAGCATTCTTATTAGTACGCATTCAACTTTTTTTTAAAGATAGGTAAAGGATCGCCCTGGCCAACATGGCTCAGTTGGTTGGAGCATCTGCCAGTGCACTGAAAGGTCACAGGTTTTATTCCCAGTTAGGGGTACTAGGTTATATGGCGGGGTGGGGTGTGGGGGGGTGTCATACGGAGGCAACCAAACAATGTGTCTCTCTCACATCAATGTTTCTCTCTCTCTCAAATAAAATAATAAGCCAAAACCGGTTTGGCTCAGTGGATAGAGCGTCGGCCTACGACGATTAGGGCACATACCACAGTTGTGGGCTCAATCCCCAGTGTGCAGAAGGCAGCTGATCAATGATTCTCTCTCATCACTGATGTTCCTATCTCTCTCTCCCTCTCCCTTCCTCTCTAAAATCAATAAAAATACATTTTTTTTTAAAAAGATAGGCAAAGGGTTTTGAATACAAAAAAGTCATTCTTGTTTCTAAATGAGTTTAGAACATTTAGGTTCTGTCCCCAAAAATAACATGAAGTAACAGTCAACAATAGTATAGTCAATGTACTACCCGATTCAATTAAATTTGACAAATATATACTGTATGAGGTCAACACAAACTTTAATCACCAAGCCAAATTGATAAACCTGTCATTTTGTCTTTCACACTTTATGTTCCATGACCAATTACTGCAAAACAACCTAAGTTCTACACTATGACCTACTTTAAAGATAGACAAGGTATTAAAAATATACATATATATATATATAAACTACTATAAAGATTAGCCTTTATGCCTTTATGTTAGTCTTAAAATTGTTCAAATAATACCTGCCTTAATCAGTAGAGAATTCTGTAATATGTGCAGTCACCGAAGAGATATTATTAAAAGTATGGTAGGCAAACTGCCACATAAATAATCCACCAATATGCTCTCTTATCAAAAGTTACGCTATGGAAGGGATTTACACTTCAGATATAATTTTGTCATGTAATCTTAGAAAGGAAAACATGTCACCCTAAACTTCAAAATTATCACCCAAAATTCTAAGAAAGATTCCCCAAATATGTGGTGTACCTTCTTACATAAAATGACTACAATTGCACATGAACCAAGAGAAGAAAAAAAAAAAGGTTAGATAAGGAAAGGTGCAACAGGTAGCAATCACTATAATTAACAAACAAACAAACAAAATCTTACCAGGACAAAAATTATAGATTTCTTGTATCTCCCTACAACAACCTTGTTTAAAAAATGTGAAAACTTTTGTTTGATGAAAGGCTCTTCCTTTGAAAGATTGGATCCCAATATCCCTTAGATATGTATGTAACAAGTCAACAATTCTACAAGTTTGACACAATAAGCATAATCTTTTTTTCCCAAAGAAAGTTTAATTCAAGAAAAGTCAAAACAATTCCTAAATGTACAAAATTCCACTACTGATACACTTTACTCTGAAAAGTTAAAGATAAAGAAATATAATCTCAACACATGGATTAGAAGAGGCAAGTCTCTGAAATAAGGCTTGCCAGAACACATACCTGCTGGATATATTTGCCAATACACTCCACATCTTTTTACCAATCACATCAAGGGGAAAAAAATGTAGTCTTTACTCAAAAAGAGTGGAGATCATCAACAAATGGATTAAAGAATTACTCTTTTCCCCCCTCCAAACTAAGTCTAAAACACAGAGCCAAATAAAACCACCATAAATTCCTTTAGTGTCTTCTAGGTCTTTCAATTCACCAAATTTCACATAATAAATACAATTTTGTGGCTTTCCTCATACCCTACTCTACAAAGACAAATTCAAATTTCTGAAATAAATATATGGTGAGAATATTAATAAAGCTCTCTGACTAGGGAAGCAAAATCAAATTCTTAAAGTCCAACAGGGAAACCTTGAGAAGAAAGCAAGGCCTAAAGGAGCGCATGCATATTCATATGCACATACAAACTAACTCCCTCCAAATCATTACTAAGTAAAAATTTCCTTCAACAAGATGTCATGTATCATACATTCCTCCCAAAATACAGAACTTCATCAGCATCCAGTATTTTACCTTTTCTCAATCCCCCCCTTCTTTCCAAACCTATCCAAGTATTAATTTGTTTAAAGAAAAGATAAAGACTCAATAGTTTTACTCCCCAGCTCAAGACCACAAAACCTGGCACACCAAAATCTTTAAAAAACTATATCAAACTATCCTTCCTCAAACCGGTTTGCCTCTGAAATTTACATTCTAACTTAATTTGAATTATTACAATGTCAGTATTGCAAAATTAGGAATCCTTGAAAGTTGTAATCCAAAAAGTCCTCGGATTTACAATGGTTTCTATAGAAGTTAAAGGCTACATATAACCACATTTCCAAACAAGATGAATATGAAGGTTCTAACTACTTGGCCTAAAACCCAAATGAGGTAGTCATAATATACCTTCTCTCCTCCTCTAGTGTACAGAAAAGCCACCTGAAAAGTTGTAATCACAGTATGTTCACAAATGGAAACATTATAGTTATTCTACGTCAAAACTGGAAAAAAAAAAACATAACAAGAAAATACTAACCAATCTCTGGCTGTAACGAATCCTTTCTTCTTCGGGTTCCATCTCTCACTCTTCTGTTGAAATTACTGTAAAGAAACCACTCCAGGGCTGCCTTCCTCTTCCTCCTTAGGAACCAGATTGATTGCAACACTGAAGAATAATGATATGAGCAGAGATGAGAACTCAAACTCAACCTTTCCTTCCACGGGAAAAAAAGTGTTTAAAATATGTGTAAGTTAAAGGCTCTCGGAGAAATCTGGTTCCTCTTCATCTGTTTGGGACCTCTCTGCTCTTGGGCAAGTGGTTCCATGTCATGACCAACATTAATCAAATTACAACAGTCCAAGGCCTAAGCAATAGGAGATGCTGGTTTCAGTTCCTTGTGGTCGGGCCACACCACTTGTTTCTCCCCACAGGATACAATTAGCAAGGATCCCCTTCATGGCAGCATTAGCAAAAAAAATTTTTTAAAACGGGGGGGGGAGGGGGGGGGCGCGCACTGACCAGGTGAAGCAGGTACTGAGGTAATCCAGATCCTAACCAAATTAGTTCTCTCTCACTGGTAATTAGAAACTAGAGGGAAGAAGGGCAGACTAACCATATAAAAAGAGGGCAAGAAATGAGGATCTGAAGAAAGACTTCAAAACACTTTCCCATACCCCTCTAGAAAGCAACAATCTTCGTCTTCCTTCCTAAGGATCTTTTCATTCCCAAACCCAACCCAAGATGTGTACAACTCTGAAATTCAAGAGTTGCACATCAGGAACAAAAATTCCATCAGATACTTCTGGGTAAAAAAAAATAAAAATAAAAACAAACGGTTCTACCTATAGATATAAGTAAATACATCTTTTCCAAAAATTAAGTAAAGACAGGTTTGCGCAACGGACCCATCATACCAAGAATGGTTTTTCTGTTTTTCTGAACACTCTTATAGATGATGGCTTCCATAGGGAATGCAGATTTGTTTTCCTAACTACATTACCGCCACGTTAATAGCATCCTTTCAAAACGGCTGCGGGACCAGAGGACCCGGTGACACAGTTGGTGCGCACAGTCCGCGGCAGAGCTCTCCGGGGGAAGCCCTCGCCCCCGCCGGGGGGGAACCGCGTTTGCACCCCCTGGGCGAGGGTCGCCGGGGCTGGAGAGCAGCCGGGTCCGGAGAGCAGAAAAGGGCAGATCGCGCCGGGCTCCCCCGGGAAAGGCGTTTCAATGGTTCGCCCATCGGAAAAAGAAATAGAAACTTTACATTAAGTCTTTAGATAACACAGAGAACCAAACTTCCAAAGGGGGGGAGGGTAGAGAGGGAAATCTCACCGGGGGTTTTGCTCTTGAGTTCTTGACCAAAAGTAAAAGATTCCAAAAACTGAGAGGAAAAAAATTAAATCCCAATCGTCGTCTTCGTTTTTTTTCCCCCGTGGATCAACCGAGTATCCAGAGGGTCAGAGCGACCCGGAAAAGAGAGGAAACAGTTGCTGAATCAAACCTCCTCTTCTGGCTTTGGAGACCGGGAGTCGGAGGCGTCAGGAGAGGGGAGCGCGACCCCTCGGCGCCGAGCCCGGGG